AGATATTCTGCAGTTCAGCAGTTATTCAGCAGTCGCTCAGCAGATGTTCAGCAATCATTTAGCATATATTAGCAGTTGTTCAGCAGATATTCAACAATCGTTCAGAAGATATTCTGCAATCCTTCCGCAGATCTTAGCAATTGTTTAGCAGATATTAAGCAATCATTCAGCAGATATTCAGCAATTGTTCAGCAGATATTCAGCAGATTTTAGCTGATGTTCAGCAGATTTTAACAGTTATTCAGCAGTCGTTCAGCAGGTATTCAACAATTGTTCAGCAGATATTCAACAGTTGTTCAGCAGATTTTAGAAGTTCTTCAGCAGTTTTTAACAGTTATTCAGCAGATATTCAGCAGTTGTTCAGAAGGTATTCAACAATTGGTCATTCAGCAAATATTTAGCAGTCATTCAGCAGATATTCAGCAATTGTTCAGCAGATATTCTGCTGATTTTAGCAGATGTTCAGCAGATTTTAACAGTTATTAAGCAGATATTCAGCAGTCACTCAGCAGATATTCAGCAATCATTCAGAATACATTAGCAGTTGTTCAGCAGATATTCAGCAATCATTCAGCAGATATTAAGCAATCATTCAGCATATATTCAGCAATTGTTCAGCAGATATTCAGCAATTGTTTAGCAGATATTCAGCAGTCATTCAGCAGATATTCAGCAATCATTCAGCAGATTTTAGCAGTCATTCAGCAGATATTCGGAAATTGTTCAGCAGATTTGTGCAGTCGTTCAGCTCTCAGTATTTAAAATGTGTTGTCACTTTAAATAAAAATTCTTCAGTTCAACAATCAAAAATCAGCCGAAACAACAAACTTCTTAGCAGCTAAAATGAATCAAAGTTCAGCTCAGCAGGTGAATCCAGATTCTTCAACTCCGATCGGACCGAAGCTCTGATGACTCATCAGATTTACTCAAAATGGTTCCTGAGCCACCTGAGGAGGAACGAGTCCTTTAAGCTTCAAGCACAGGACCAGCCCTGATTTGTAGGAACACTTGGAACCTCTATGTTCCTCTATGTTCTACGTCAGTAGAACCCCCAACCCTCCCACCAGCACTCAGCAGCTCCGGCTTCAAAGTCTCCTCTGGGACTCGGACGTTCCCAGCTCGGATGGGAATGTTGCTAAATTAAGGAGCATCACAAAGGCAGCGAACATGAGTCAGGAACAAACGGAACGTGTTCAGGAACCCGCTCATCAGAACACAAGGAGGAGGAGAACCTCGATGACAGGATGAATCAGGAACAATGAAAAGGATCAAAGTCTTTGACCTTCAGCCAGCAGAAAACAAAACGCCAGGAGCTTCAAGTCCTCGGCCCGTCTGAAACAACAGATTCATGTGGACATTTTATTATTTATCTTTGTTTGTCTTTAGTTGTCAGAACCTTTAGTCCGGTTCCCTGAAGAACTCCACGTCTACAGGCTGAGCTCTTCTGGATCTACGGCAACATCATGATCGCCCGCCACAGGCAGTGATGTAAACACCAGTCTGCGTCTGGTACCAGATGATGGTTTGAATAAAACTGTACCACAGAACCTCCTCCTGGTTCTGGTTCTGTCAGCCCAGCGGGTCGTGGCTACTTTGGAGCCACCTGAAAGGTCAGAGCAGATCATTTTGGAGCCTGCTCGGCACCTGCAGAAGCTCGTTCTGAGCTCCCATCACGTTCTTCTGTAGGCCCCGGCAGGAGGCTTCAGGTCCACAGGGGGGTTTCCTTCCTCCCTGACCCCCCACCCCCCCCCCCCACCCACAGTGAGTCATCAACACCCCCACAGCTCTGACTCAGCTGCAGCCTGAGGGAGCGACTCCTCGTTAAATCATGCTTCTGCTGCAGTTCTCAGCTAAACCCTTCACTTCCTGCAGCCGAAGATCCGTGTGTGTCTCGGTGTGTGTGTCTCGGGGTGTGTGTGTGTGTGTGTCTCGGTGTGTGTGTGTGTGTCTGTGTGTGTCTCGGTGTCTGTGTGTCTCGGTGTGTGTGTGTGTGTGTGTGTGTGTGTGTGTGTGTGTGTGTGTGTG